AATGACGCTCTGTGCCCCTTAAAACCAAGCTGTGTACTAGGCGAGACCTAGATCCTGACTCTGGCATCCAGATCTGAATATTTTGGTTGCAATATATGCCTTAACAGAAGATGCTTAAGAGCAAACGCAACCCAGCCCCCTCCTCCCCACGCCAATCACAGAACTTAGTTCCAGAATTTAAAAATGAGACTGATTACTAAACACAAATGCATTAGTTTTCACAGTCTTTTTTGCACAGTTTGCCAGATGATTATATGTACAGTACAAAACAGTATGCAGAAATAAAAACTGAACCCTTTCACCTGCAAAAACTGATGCATATTTGATTTATATATATTAAGACATAGTGTACCTACCAATTAGAGGCTGAAACTTCTATAATCTGGAGCCATTTTCTTACTGTAGTCATTGCACCGATTATTCATTTTTGAATTTCATTTTTAAGGAATAATAAATCCATAATTCTGTTTTGTAAAAAAAGCAAAAACAAAGTAATCTTATTTCAGTGGATTCAGGGTGCTTTATGAATGTTCCAAGTCAATACCTGTGCATAAATGTTTCATTTGGGTATGATGAATATTTATTCAGAAGCAGCTTATAAAATCGGCTCTTGATAGGAACTGAAAGGAAGAGTGGGAGGTTTGGGTTTATACCAAAATATATAACGAAAAATTTAAAGCTTTTCAATTAAAAAAAAGGTATATTCAGTTCTATTAGACATAGATGTGCACAACAGAGAGCAGTTTGAAATAACAAGTACATTTACAAAGCTTTCTTTTCATGGTTAACTTCTACCAGCATTTCTGAATGGAACCTACTAAAATGATAACCCTGTTTATAATAAAGGCGCAAAATATTGCTCTGTAGCTTATTTTGAAAATTATAAAAATAATTTCTATATTACAATTTAAACTTGGCTTGTAAAATTCCAACATAATACAGCTTTAAGTCTACAAACAGAACACGCTTACAAACACCTTTATGTTTTCTGTCATTTTTAACAATATAGTATTTTTAGTCCTATACATTGGAAATTAATGTGCAAATTGAAATATATACCTGTTTCTATCACCAAAATAATTTAAATTCTATGCTGTATAGGGTTTGGTGATGCACTGTGCGAGTCGCCATACCTCAAAACAAACTTCTCCAATACATGGACAGACACTTGGAGTGCGCTGAGCTGATAGCCATCTACGATCAACAYGGGCTATTTTGCTTCTCTGGGCCTTGTCTGACTGGAAATTCTTGTGGCTTCTCATTCCCAGCGTGATGAGGAACTTGCTCCCTTACTCTGCTTCCACTATAGTAACCTTGTATACGTTGCGTGTGCCCCCCAAGCAGCCAGTCTGAGGTTCCCAACAACCAGCGCTGTTCACCCCCAKGGCTCTGCAGGCAGCACATTTAGAGCCACGAGATGCACAGCTTTCCTCCGCCACGGGCCAAAGCCTCCCAAATGCTTCAGGGGCAGAGGAGGAGGAACAGGCAGCCCTGGGGAACAGCCCTGGCGAAACCTGAGGCCCTGACCCTCACCCTGACCCTGCAACCACGTGGATTGGGTTTGTGCAACTGAACAGCCTCCTCGCTGCGAGGGAGGCCGAACACCCSGGGGAGCCTGAGCACCAGTGCGGCTGTGGGCAGAATCGCAGAGCGCAGGGCAGTATTTTGGCACATCTGTGCTGTGCCTTTTTTGATATCTAAACATTCAGCGCACTAGAAGTAGGTTACCCTGAATATGGCTGTATGCACAGGGCTGGTATTGCCTCAGCAGACTGGTTGCTCTGCAGTCAAATGGTGCACAAGTCTGTCTGAGCATCTCTTCCCAACGCTTTCTGTATCATGAAATACTGCTCATTAGGAGCTCTGCACATTTACAGACAGAAAGACTGAAGACGTCACTGGGCTTATTTAAACTTCTTCAGAAACAAGCAACAAATATTTCTCAAGGCAGCATCTTCCTTTCACTGATCCTTTTGATGTTACCTTGGTCTTAGGAAGACGGAACTAGTTGGTCACATGCAATACTATCACTGCATTTATAAAGCTTAATGAACTACATCAATACGTGCTTAATCACTTTAAAATCCAGACTATCGGAAGTGCSTTGTGATAATTTACGCCACCATCTTTCTTCTGAATGAGCTCCTTGTTAGTGATCTGTTGACAACCAAGTCTGAAAAACATTTCTACAGTCTAGGGATGGTTTACCAGTTCTTCATACAGCGTTTTACATGGAACTCTAAAGTGCGACTGAAACCCATGATGTAGCACAGGCCCCCTCTGTTATGGACAGACCTTTGTATCGAATTGCTGAACAAAGTAAAAAAAAAAWTGCATAATAGGTTTAATAGTTATTTTAAACTAGAAAAATGGCACATTCATGTGTTTAAGGAATCCCAAATTCCTCCAAACCAAATATTGTCTGTTGGTTTGGAATCTGCTTTGGATAGATGGAGCCTACCGAGCAAAATGGCCATACCTTTCRGAAGCGGACAACAGTGTGGAATCACTGTCAAGGAAAGAGAAAAAAAAAAGCCCTCACAGATGTGCAAATGGGCATGAAGACGGCAGCCACGCGAGCCAAGGCGGGACAAGGTCAGGCACTCCAACCCAAAGTGGCTGGTCCCGCGGGGCTAAGCAGYGACTCTGCCACCCCACGGGGTGACCAACTCTCCTGCCCATCAGGCACAAAGGGACAAACTGACCCGTGGGCTACAGCAATTTTCAATGCAACAAAAGCTAAATCAAAGTAGCAGCTAGAGGTTGGTTAGTTAGTGCAATAGCAAAAAGAGACTGGAAGGGTATTCCTTCTCACGCCTAGCTAAGGAATTATATGGTTTCTTTCATTTGCTGGTGGATGCAAGTCATGAACAGTTGCTAATCATCTCTGATAAAAACACATAGAAAACTCCCTCTTATAGCTAGACTTTTCATTAAATGGGACACTTGTGACAAAGCCTGCAATAAGTGTCTTTGGGGTAGGCACTGTTTCTGCATGCTTGGACTGTTCAAAGCTAAGTATGGTTTCACCATTAAATAAGTGCCACAAATAGTGACACATCCGTTCAGAAATAAGAAAGAAAATGTTAGAGTAATAGGGCTGAGGAAAAGAGGACAACTACTAGGAAAACAGGGATAAGATTTTCTGTCTGAAACTTCTTTCCAAAACTGAATGTTAGATAATAACAGAATAGAAGAGACTTCTGAAAGAAAGCAATAATATTGAGCAAGTTTCTTAAACAGCAAGAAAAAGCATTCTAAGGAAACAGATACAACTAAAGGGAATCCCATCATTACTTCACATTAGAGATTGTTTAAAATGAGACAACTAGTAATARTAGTAAATAATTATGGAAATATTTGAGTACATTAAGGATGACATTAAATGGTATGAAATACACTAGTCTATTCAGATAACCCTGTTATTATTCAGAAGATAAATTAATTTTTCAAAAAATCTTGTAAACAGTCACAATCTATTCAATAATTTAGAACCGGGTCACTATTTATCTACATATTGACCTACTGCAAACTTTTTTTTTTCCCTCCCAAGTAGTACCTCTTAAAAGCATGATAGCAACAACTCCTTTTCACAATGGGAACCAGTCAAATGTTTCATTTTACATATGCCTTATTATTTTTTCCTCATTTTGGAAAAATACAACTGACTGAAATACAAGCTTGCTGCTTGAGCACATTATACAGAAGCATTTCTAAGAGTATCAGAGGCTACTGCTACTCTTATGCTCCAAGAAGTGTTTATTACTTCTTTTTTTTTGATTTCTTGAAGCTTATTCCTGTCAGTTTTCTCCATCTTAGGAACAAAGACAGCCAAGTGGGATATTTGATTTTCTTTCAGGTGATCTGGTTTGCTTCAGCATGATCTGAAATCACAGGTTTCTTTGGCAGCAAAAACGCAGATATAATGACAACTGTTAACCAGAACCCGAACCTGCACACCAGTGCACACAGCAAGAAATGTGGTTCTCAGAGGCTGCTTACCTTAAAAACAGTTACAAGGAGTTTTAACTTTTCATCAAGTTTGCCAACATTTCCCTTTTATGAATGAATGCAAAATTCGGTGATATTCACTGTACGCTCTGTGTACCACCAGAAATATGAAGTACAGGTCTGGATTCATGAAAGAGCTAACACGGCAAAGACCATGAGCACCCAGACTGGCTCGTGGGACCTATCTGCAAACTCGGCTTTCAATTTTCCAACCCACAGAAAACCTGCACACGTGGGCACCTGGAAGCAAGCGCTCAGCTCCACACATGTCAGTGGGACACTAGCCAGTGCTCTGAGCTTTTCCTGAACGTTAGTGCACATCTGCACGAGTCTTTCCTCTTGCACGGATTATTCTGTACTTGGCTTTAAGGCTAACTGGGATTAACTGTACTCAAGTGAAGTGGTGTCAAATATGTCAAGAAATGGCAGAAAAGAATCAGACTATTTTGAGTGGGCCAGAAAAGTTCACAATTCCATGGAACAGAAGTCACTCCTGTTGTGTATCTCCAGGTGCCAGACACTAAGAAGTTCTCAAGGCAGCACCATCCCTACTTGGATAAAATGAATTATTTTTCAAAAATACAATTTAAATGACCATTGCTTACAAATGTGGAGACATTAAAAACCTATTCTTATTAAATAATGCTGATGGTGGTGAAGTGTAAAAATGCAAATACTATATTCAAGAAAACCTACTGATCTCATACATCTACTTTTACAGCATTTCTGATATTTGCTTTACAGATTGCTTTATAGACATTTTTTAAGAAGAAAGTTATTTTTGAAACTATTGCATATACTTAAGCAACTATACAGACAAAACCCCTCATACAAGCGTGATGTTCTAAACTGATCTTTAATTTCCTAACTGGTGATATTCATCCCCAAATTGATAGCCAATTTTAATGCTTTTTTCCATGTTAACAGCAATGAAATTGCTACCAAAATGCAGGTGCCCAAAACTGTATTATGTGGGGGTTTTCTTCAGACATCAAGTCTTGCGAAGTGTAATATATTTTTCATAGAACCTGTTTAAAAATTCAAAACAAAGAAGAATGGCTCAAACCTACCTTTTTATTGAAACTTAGAAATAAGTGGTAGGAGCTCACAATTAGGAAGAGCTACAGACCTCATGAATTCAGACCTTCACTCCCATTTTCCTGAAGTCATTGCATTTCAGACAAAAGTGAGTACAAACATTAATAATAATGCAGTATGCTGCTATGTTAAGAATGTGCTGTATGCAAAATCGCTACCCTTCAAAAAAAGGGAGGGGGCTATGAAAAAAATATCTTTTACTGAGAAAAAATACTCTCGTAATAGCTATAGAATTTCAAACATCTACAAGGCAGACACTACCCCACGGCAACGCCACAGCTCTAGCATTTACCTTCTCCTGTCATTCGACTACCTGAGTGATGTCAGTGTAAATTCAGGCACCATTAGTAAATTTTTGACCAAACATATACACAGCACTGACAAAGGAGTAAATAACCCTTCAGCTTACCAGTATATGTAAAAAAGACACTGACAAAATGGAAAACAACAAATCTTTATGATAAATTAATCCTATCATCACCCCAGAAAAGTGAAAAGCTGAACACTCTTCACTTGTCAATGCTTTTTTCTTCTCTTTAAGAATTCCTTCGACCGCAATTCAACACTGTTTACTTTGCAAGTAAGAAAACGATGGAACTAAGTAGTCACAGAAGAATCCTCAATGCCTGTGTCCCTTGCTGTCTCTCTCCCGCCGCTTTAACTCCTCTTTGTAGCAATATGAACAGTAATTTTCAGTCTCCGGACGACCATAAAAGGAACAGTTCTCCTTCTTACAGCGGTTCTGCTGGATGGAATATATTGGGCAAACTGTGCTTCTGCCTTGATTTTTATCATTGTTCAACCAGGTTTGAGGAGCATCCTCATCAACGTATTCTAAGTTGTCTCTGATATCACCAGTATTGAACCCATTTGTGTATGTCTGAGACTTGTGTTCCGTGGGCATGGCATAGCTCAGCGATTCCACCGTGTTCACTGTGCGGATACCAGATATCCGGGCCGGGCTATAGCTCTGTGAAGACAGCGATCTGTTTTGTTGGGGGTAGGTGGCACAGGTTTTTAACGTGCCAACCACTGGCTTATAGGTATCATCTTGGAAGCTCGATGGCTTGGAGTTGACATCATGCAAGTGGATGACGCTTTGTCGTTGGATGGGTGGTGTATGGCTATAGTGGGCAGAAACCGGAATGGGTCCGCTTTTCTTAGCACCGTTACTAGGTGAAGAAAATGACCCCGGAATGGGACTAGTGCGATCTTTAAATTTTAAAACCAGTTGAGTTGTATGGCTTTGAGGCAAGACGGGTGATGCCCTATCCTGAGGAGATGTTTCTAGCTTTTCCTTTGAATATGTTTCTGGCTCCGTTTTCCTGCCGGATGACCCATTCAGTGCAGCCTTTTTCTCAGCGTCCTTTCTCTTCTGCTCCTGCTCCGCGTTGAACCGCTCCTGTGCGCTGGTCAGGTAGTAGCCAATCATCTCCTCGTGGAACTGATGCCTGTGGCTGGTCAAAAGGAGGCCAGCAAAAATAAACTTGCGTTCCCCTTGCATGGCAGCTCTCAGAATATTGAGGCTGAGTTTCACATCAGTGCTGTATTTCCACGGGTCAGGCTGCTTATCAGAGAAGCYTTTAGCGTTCATCTTGTCAATGGGCGAGTTGCCAGCCTTGTCAGTAGGAGACGGGGTGGTCTTTTCAGAGGGAGGGCTGCTCGCTGACTGTCCTGTCTCCTCTTTGCTCCCTTTTCGAGACTTAGACTTCTTCTCTTTGACCTTCTCTGCAGCATCCCCATTTTTCCCATTCCCTGAATTGGCTCTGTTCATTTTGCCGTGCACCAGGCCTCCAAGACCACCCATATTCTTTTTCAACTTAATTCCCAGCGTTTTACTGAGGCTTCCAATCTTATTGGCAACTGAATCCGTCCTGTTTTTGTCTTTATCTTTCCTCTGTTTGTCCTTTTCTTTTTCTTTACTGTTTTTGCCATTATTGCCATTGGAATTACTACAGATAGATTCTCGGTCTGAGTCCATTGAGTCAGCCAGAGACTGAACATCTTCCCCTGTAGAAGCTGTAGGGGATTCTGGTTGAGCCAAAGGGGCCTGTTATAGAAAATGAGTTATAGTTAGATACAGCAAAGCCAGTTTCATGCAAGGACTTGGTGCAAGTAAGCAAATCTAATGTAGATTTTGAGATTGACTTTATGCTACTTCCTAATTTTTACACTGACATTTTAGACAGGTTTCTTCACAAAATAAGGCCTTTTAGGCTGGGGTGAATACCTATCTTCTTCCTAGAGCAGCTTTTGGCTYGTCCTAAGGCCACCGGCAGAGCAGACGTCATTCACTGCAAGTGTCACCTCTGCAGATCCGTGTCTGAAAGCGGCGCCGCGCGGCCGCGCTGCTGCCGAGGGGAGCCCGTGGCTGGGCCACGGCAGGGCCGCTGGACACGGCGCCTCGGGGGGCAGCCACAGAACAGGCGTGGATGGGAAGCAGGGAAAGCAGCGGCTGTTATTGGGAAGGCAGGGAAATGATAACCTGCTGGAAGCTGCTAGGAGGATGCAGAGTACACATCTGCACATATCAGTACTTCAAAAGCTACAATGCTCACATAACATCTTATTTAAATGGGTCTCTTCATTATCTGTGGTCTCCAGTGCAATAAAAAAATCAAAGGCACCACACATCAGAGCTAAACATTTTGCCTGAAATATTGAACATCTGGCACAGAGTGCATTACAGCATACAATCATGTACATTTAGTCCTGTCAGAAAGAATCCTGTCAGAAATAAAGGGTGGATAAAACTGACATTGATATTCTGAGTTTCTATTTGTATTTTAGGTAAGGTATATTTTAGGTAAGATCATAAAGCATCTTTCCTAAAAATGTAAGCAAAAGGATCCTAGGATACGATAAAATTTGGCTCTGTTCAGCAAGTCTTGCAAAAAGTCTTCACAGGCTGTTTCCAAGGCTGGTTCTCAGGGTGATTTTGCATGACTGCATCAGTTTACAGTCAGTTCTAATCTGAAGTCTCCACTGATGCTTAGCAAAGCTTTGCAATTTCTCTCAAACTTTGCCTGTTACCAAAACTGTGAAATTTCCCCTAAAAGGTTCAATGCAAGAAAGTAGCGGAATTAGGATCCTGAAGAGCCAGGGAGGATTCMAACTTGGTAGCCTGACCTACAAGAAGTAGAGAAGATGCTCCTTTCACAGAGAGGTGATCTTCATTTTTGATTAAATATCTGCAAGTTCATTTCAATTATAATCAAACTAGAAATACAGGTGCAAGTGTAGAAGAATTTGCATTTCATCAGTGCATAAGAAACGCTGAAAGTTTGGTGAAGATACCTTTAACAGCTCTCAATTATACATACTTTGCGTGAAAAAAGCTGTGTGTAAGAATAACAATCTCCAATCAAACTTTTGCTTTGTAAAAGTAATATTTTTACCTGAAAAAAAATGTTAGTTTTGCTTTTTAAATTCTTGAAAATTCTGTTTGCAGCAGGTCAGTTTAGAACTCAGCAGAGGAAGCGAGTAAACTATTTAATCCAAATCAAATCTGGTGGTCAGTATTAGGTGCTAGCACATTAACCCCCCTTGATCAAGAGGCAGCGGTTTTGGCATCTGTAATTCCTCAGTACTGTGGCAGAACAAGCAGCAGAGGGCTAAGCCAAAGAACATAAGTGACTGAGAGAATCCTAATGCAGCTTGTCCATGTTTACAAACACTACAAACACTACATGCTAAAAGTCAGACTAATCTGTAGAAGAACAGAACTAAACTAAACTAAATGTGGAAATTTGTTTCATTTATGGACAATAGCAAGCAGAAAAGCTTATTTGTTATTGCTGATTTCTTTAAGCGCTGCTCAAAGCATAGTCCAGAACTTTATTACTTTCTGCTAAAGGAGGCCAATCTGCAGCAATAGGGAAGAGCTCAAGTGCATCCACATGCTGCAGTGGCTACCAAATCATTCAGGCACCACAAAGTCCCAATCTGCTAAAAACAAACATGAAGCATTTAACCAACCCTAATGACTCCAAGGACTCTGCAGATATGAATATTCCTAYTGCAGAAACGTGCGTGCGTTTCTGCCTCCCCGGGGAGTCAAACAGCCTCTGTGCTGGAGCCGACCTGCTGCGAGCAGAGCGGGTCCYCGCCTGCAGCAGAGGGCAGGGGAGCCGGCCCGACCCGAGCGCTGCTGGAGCAGAAGATCTGAGTAGGGAAAGGCAGCTCAGGTCACACTGCTGACAACTGGAGGGTCCTTCTGCCTCTCCTTCTGCTGCAGTAGCTGCCACTTTAGAATGAAACTGAAGAAATATAGATTTTTTTTTTCTTCCTCTTGCCTCCTAAACTCTTCTTCCCTTTGTGTTCCATTCCTCCTTTGAAATCCCATCTGTGCAGGCTGCCTAAATCACCTCCATGCTCTCCTAGCAACCTTTTGCCTCCAGACGGGCCCCTCAATCTCTTCAGTGTAATTTGCAGAGAAGTTTCCAGYTGATGAGGTGCCAGCTGGGCACGGCTCAGAAACAGCTTTCCCAGCGCAGCTGGCGCCGCTCCAGTGGCACCCTGAGCCCCCATCAGCCCCTCTCTGACCAGGAGCTACCCTGGGCTCCAAAAGCATTCTCATAAGAAAAGAAAGTACTCAAAAATATACAAGCAATTACCTTGTTCAAACTAATAACTAGACATTTTCTAAGGCTGGCACGGCCCAGATGGAGGCCAGTTCTCCTTACCCGTGTTTCAGACGGTATGCGTATCCACGTTACATTCATATAGCTGTGCAGGAGGTTAAGCTTTGCCTCAAGAGACAGAATCAAACTGAGGATGAAAAAAGAAAGGAAGAAACCAGTTAGAAACACCCTGAAAGGAAAAGCAATATGTGCTTGCAGGGAGGAGTTACCACTGAGCGGAACAGCAGCCTGAGGTGCCACTGCGGACTGCAGACCCCCCAGCTCTTCATCTATGCAACAACGGAACAGGAAMAAAGCTCCACTGTTAGCAGGTGGCCCCAGCCTAGGCCACGCGCAGCTCAGGACACTCTACTGGCCCATAGGGGTTGCAGAAGGGTCTTACTTGGCCAGCCTGGTGTTGTCATTGTCGTCCTTCCCCCATTCCCAGTCCTTCCCGGGATCCACCGCAAAGTGCAAAGGCAGCAGCTTGTGTTCAGAGTCAGTCAAGGGGATCACCGCTGACATGGAGAAAAACAACAATAGAAAGTTTGTGGAGAAAAACAACAGAAAGTTTTAGCTGTGAAAAACAATCAAGTATCTGGCTAAGGAGAAAGGGCGGAAGCCAAGTGCCCTGCACAAGCGTCCTGCCCTTCAAGCAGAGCKCCCCCAGTGATGTGCAGAGGCTCCACGTCCCTGCTCTCAGGCGCTTCTCGCTCCCYGGCCTCTCCCCGCTCTGCCTGGGCTCCCCGCCTTCTGACGCAGGGCTTAATGACTCTGCACAGACTACACTGTGACACAGTAAGAAAAAAAAAGCTATTATTCCTCCTCACCATCAGTAACTTAAGAGAACAGCACTGTGAGCTTTAATTAAAGCCAGCAATTTGCTCCTATTTCGTTAGAAACCTAAAGCTAAAGCTGTKGAGTGACTGAGTGAGACTCAGCATTCTACAGGTCGCTGCTGTCACTCTGACAACCCATCAAGGAACTGAATTTTTTATAAWGAAACCTTCATGACTTAGCCTAGGCACTCATTCCAACAAAGCCAAGGGGCAAAGAAACCCAACATCGTATCGGCAAATTATAGAAGGTTTATTGCGTTATTGGCTATGTGTTGTTTAAAGTAGTTTCTGCAGTTCAGTAAATATAYATTGTCAGCAAAACAGTACTGCAGAAAACATGCTGTTGGCACAAAGGTACAGCATTTATACTTAAATATTGAGTGTGCCCAGCAGAATACATGAAACAAAATCTGCAGTTTTAACATGGTGAAGTCAGGATTTAGTTCAGACAGTTTGACAACTGAAAACCAAACAAAAAAAACAACTGCTTTTATCTGCAGAATGGAAATAAAGTCAAAATTCTACAAATTTCATGGAAACATTGCCCCCTACTGCTTATGATATGTAATTTCTGAAATATTTTCTCCCTGTTAACTGCACATGAAGTACAGAACAGATAGAGATTAATCAATTCTCGTTCCAGATGCTGTTTTAAGATGCAAGCATTGAAATGAATACTGTAAGAGAATTTAGCACCCCGAAGAAGCTGCCTGGGAGTGGTCAGCACAGCCTCCTCCAACTCTACAACTCAAGCTACGCTGTAAAACGAGGTGCTGAAGTTTAAGAATGCAAGAAAGGAGGAGCAGCCTGGCCGGCAGCTGAGCACACGCATCGCGCTGTGGGGTAACCTTTGGGGTAACCTTGCTGAATCCAAGGAAGTTTGATCAACAAGGGGCTGTGATGGAATAACCGAGAACACAATTAAGAGATCCTAATTCCAAAGGAAAACTTACTAATATCCATATTCTGCCAAATAATTAAGCAGATAGTAATTCTGACTGGATTTACAAAAAAAGCCTCACAATGCAGCAAATCATCTGTTTGAAGGAAGAAAACGCCTTTTGTTTTTAAGACTTGAGACTACCATTTAACTGAATACAACAATCACTTTACATAAACAAATTTAAAGCAACCCTTTAAAGCTGTCTGGTTCTATTTATACTGAAAATACATATTTTAAAATGCATACAAATGCCTATTTTATTGAAATCTTAGACTCTAAGTAGAAGACAAATTTAGAGGAGGTTTCCCATGTAGTATCACTCTGTTATTGTCTTAGCATACTATGACAGTACTGTCTGCATCTTTGTACAGAAATGTCTGTTAATCTTCCTCTTTTTAGGCTCCGAGTTGCAAGTAAACCCTATGCTCACTGTTATGGATAGTCTGGCATTGGTATGAAGCACTGTCATCTTGTTCATRAGACAGGTGGCTGCTAAACTCACTGAGTTTTATTTTTGCTGTAGGAGATCCCTTCTCTCTTGGGGAATTCCATTTAGCAATAATGTTTTTCACTAAGTTTTCCCCACGATCCTAACAGGCAAATTATTTTGATGTTCAGCACTGTAAGCAAAATCCATCATGGTCATTTCTAAAGCAAAGCTGATGACTATAAAATCTTCTGGCACTCCAGCTATATCAAAGACTTTGCAGTGTTGCTGCATTACTGTAGTTAAACTTGATTTTGGATGCTCTCTAGCTGAAACCACATGGTTTGAAACACAATCAAGTGCATAGCAGCAGGCATACAAACAAAAGTAACAGCTGCTGTTTTGCCCATGCCAGTTTTAAAACACCCAGTGGGGACCTTTGCTGCCTTCCTCMGTTTGGTATTTTGCCTTCCATGCTGGAAAGTGACAGTTTTCCTAGTGCTCATGCCACAAGCATCCTTGTTGCCCTTCTATAAAACACAACAGCTTGGCTGCCTCTGCAGGCACCAATGAAATAAAGTGCTGACCCTGCTGCGCGAAACCACTTGGTCCCTGCGGACTGGGTGACAAGCACAGGACTGTGGGAAGCTCCAGCCTCCTGGATCAGCCCCAGGGGTATGTTGAGAACTACTCTTCATTTTCGTTAGTTTGTGAGCAAAGATAAAAAAAAAAAAATAGCCGCATAAATAGCCTGTAGGAAGACGAAAGTATTGACAGGTTTCTAACCCGTTGCAGACTGCAGAACAAGAGAGCGTTTAGCAGAGCTTAGAGCCTCATTAAAAGCCAGGCAAAGAGAGTAACCTGTCAATACGTGTTTCAAATCCTCCTCAGACAACAGCCCGTTACTCGAGACCTTGCAAGGTTATCAGGGTGCTATAACAGCGCTCACAGTGATTTGCTACACGACTCTGTGCCCAAGTGGAACTGCCAGCATCCAGGCCAGCTCTTACTTTTATCTATCTATCTATTTACTTATTTGCCAGAGGTGGGGAAGAGGAATGGGAGGTTCTTCTTAGTCTAGCTAACTTGCACACTAATAACAAAAAAAACTACAAAGCAATCTCTAAAACCATAAACTGAAATAACTGAAATAATTCTTGCATGACCATGATGTTTCAAATTGCTACAATTCTTTTCTCCCCATTTAAAATTTTTACTTATATGTTTAAACAGTGACTTTTCTTCTTATTTTACTCCCACATCAGCTCTTTACCAGCAGCATTATTCCATGACTTCTCCTAAGTCATTTACATAACCAAAATCTCACTCTGGAGCTGCTTTCTTATTAACCAAAGGGCTATCCAAGTAACTTGGATAACAGAGAATTGTCAGTTGAGTCTAGCAGGGGTGCACTCAAGTGCTAATATACTCTAAAACATCAAGATAATGAGATAAAACATTTCAAGTGACTTTTTTCCTAAATGAGAAAAAACATTAGCATTTAACACACAATATGAGTGKTTTTTTTTTCCGTTTCCATTTAATGGCTTCCATAATATTATGACTCACTAAGTAATCTTCCAAACACTTTATTAACCCTGATTAGCACCCACCTTCAGGAACTCAAAATTAAAACAGATATCAAAGACCGTCCCTATTTACATATATGGAATAGCCCCAAAAGCTGCAAAAGTGCAAAAAGAGTCTGTGGTAGCACAAGGCCTAAAGCTAAAGCATTCTCACTCCCAGGGCTGACATTAGCCAGTTAGGTTTACACTCCTAAGACTGCAGCAATAAAACCCAGTGGATCCTGTTTTCCTTCTGATACAAATACACTTCCAGGTTGACCAAAATACATACGTAGACACTATATAACATTCAGCTGCTATGTTCACTGTGTACCTTGTTCTCTCTGTTGATCTTTCTGTTCCATGGAAACAAGAGCAGAGAAATGGGCCTGATCGTAGGCAAGGACAAGAGGTGAGCAATGACATCTGTTCGGTAGAACTTCGAGAGGCAAATAAATTCCTCCAAAAGGTATAGGTGCAAAYGCTGCAAAGAAAAATGGGAGTATTTAACTATATGAAAGGATGGGCATGAAGGATGRGTCTGTAACATGCAACAATTGTGCTCCTAGAATAGTGCAGTAGACAACATAGAAAAGGAGAAAGCAATTTTAAGAACAGTTGTATGATCAGATAAAATTTCATTATAAAAGGCTCCAAAAGAACACAATGAACTATGGAGGAAAGCATTTTGCCCTCACACATACATCTTCCCTCATTCTAACTGTTTACTAATAAAGACATTAGTGTCTTTTAAAAGGTTATTGTAGCTCTCATCTGTGTAGAGGCCTGGAATACATTTTATTATAGGAATATTTTCCAACCATCATCAGTAAATACACTACCAATTCTATTAGTTCTTTTGGCAACATAACTCATGAGGAAAAACACTGGGATTATTTTCACAAAAATCAGACGGGCTATAGGASAAACAAAAATGAGTAGCACAAAACTAGGATAGGAGAAACCTGAGAAAATGCTTTTTTTTTTTTTTTTCTTTCTCTCTAGTCAAGAGGTTTACTTATGGTATTTACTATTTTATTATTATTGGACTCTTCCATAATATCAATTAGACTATAATGTTTTTAAAACTATATCATGGTGAACAAATGAAAAATATAAAGGACAACAATGAAAAATCAATGAATTATTCATACTTAATTTTTTAAAATGAATTTCATTCTTCCTTGCATTGAATTTATAAAGTGGAAGATATAAAAAGCTTTTAGGACATGGTTTAAATGTAAAATAAATCATATCCTTTCTAAAACAATGCATTATAGTATATGATTGGTTCTAAGTTATTTTACTTGGTGGCAACTTTTGTAATTTCGCTATTTTGCAGAGGTAAAAATCAAAATTTTATGTGAATTGAAAAAGGTCCTTTTCTGTTAGTATAACAAGCAGATGCTGAAAATTTTATTTATTGTTGACYGAGTTATCTAACAGAAAATCCAAAATCCCTCCAAATCCCTCTGAAATCCATCATTCCAACAAAATTTACAGGTAAAATGCGTGTAAGGACAAGAGAAGAACAAAAACATATGGAATGCAAGGGACAGAGAGAAATCAGAACTTTAACAGAGATCAATGATTTGAAGAAAACAGTATTCTATGAATTTAAATATTTTAAAAATATTAATGCCTGCATATTCCTAGGTCTACTAAAATATTTCAGGCTTGTATTTGTTTAAAGAATTGTATGAAATTTTTAAGAAATGTGTTGTGTGTTGTAGTTCATTGGATACTGCAGTTGTCAGTATCCATCAGCGAGTCACCTAAATATCCAGTATTTTTACTTAACTAGAAATAGGCCTAATAATATTCTGCCTTTCTTTCCTCAGAAAAAGGCAGCAGTAACCTCACAAATGCTCAAGTATGTTGTATCTGTGATTTCTAGTTATGATAGATTGGCACCGATTCAATAAAAATAGGTTAATTAAAGTTCYAATGAAAGGCTCTTACCTTCTCCCCCTGAGTCCCTTAACATCGTATCTGCTACTACAACAATGGGTCTTCTCAAAATATGGGCTAAGACAAAAACGTGGAACTCTTCCAAGCTCTCGTACACTGGATCTTCAGCATTATCGACCCTGGAAGACAGAGCGCAGGAGCTTCAGTGACACACCAGCAGCTATTTACCCTTCCTCATCTCTTATATATTCCCTCTTCTGCACAACAACACACGTTGCAAGTACTGAAATAGATAACAGAAACAACACACCAAAAAGCTAAAGGGCATTTTTTATCTTTTTAAAGACAATAGTGGCAACAGAGAGAATGCTTTAACTTGCAGACTCCAAGGCATTCCAGTTCACTGATAATATTTCACAGTTGACAATATGTTTTAAGTAATATCATCCACAATTAGTTCTAAATTCTAAACTACAGAGGTGGCCAAAATGAATAAATTACTTATTAAAAGAATTTGAAGGGTCGAGTACACATAATATAAGAAAATGAGACTGAGATTACACCAGTCCTATCTGCGATGATCTTCAAGCAATTTCTCTTCTGATGATGAAGGCACAGGCAATGACAGAACAAGCAAAAACAGAAAGTCAGGATGTCTATTCAAATAGAAAATTATATCTGAATGTTGCAAGAATATCTGTAAAGACTCGTGTTAAATTACATACCTACCATTAAAAGGAGAACATAGAGATATGGTACCTAGCAAAAGTGAAAATGTGAACGGCATCTAGAGCGAGACTTGCACTAAGGTCAGCACTATATAGCTATAATGTACCAAGGCCACCAATACCTGCCCAATAGGCATATACCTATTCTCAACAACATCATGTGTCAGAAACACTACTTTAACAACATCATCTACCACCATGTTTATGAAGACAGCTAATTCCTTAAAATATAATGTATGGACTAACAACCTCAATTTATAAAGAGACATCTGTGCTATTTTATTAGTCTGAAAAAGTTGATGAGTTTTGCTCACAAAGCACGCCAATTTGCCTGTGCTTTGTGGCTCAGTTTCTGAAAGCCAGCACCAGCCATTCTTAAAGAATACGTGCTGATAACTTCTAGTGATACACAATTGATCATTGAATGTTACAGGGTACTTTTCCATTAAGAAAGCAGTGCTGAAAAACTGATGTAAAATTCAAAGAAGAACAAGAAGAAAAAAAGCCTTCCAGTCACCAGCATCAGCACGTTTTGAATCAGGCTCACACTATGCCAGGAAATGGAACTGCCCCATGTATTTGAAAAGCAAACCTAGGATGTCAATCATTTATGAAAAAGATCATTCATTCATCCAGACTGCAAGAATAATTCTCTCTAATTCCCTGCTTCCCTAGGTGAACATTTTGAGCCATTTTATAACTTCCAAACCATTTTATTGCCTTGGTCCCCTCATGCTGTGCACACACACAGCTTCTGCCCTGTCCAAGGATCTGCCTTCACAAACCTGTGTGCCAAGGGCTGCGTTACCGCTCCACAGCAGTCGCCCAAGGGYCTCTTGAGGTATCCATCTCGGCTGCACACAACGTGCTCCTCTCCTGAGATAACTGTCTAATATCATCCTGATTCAAATATCCTGATTCTCTCTTTTATTCAGAGACATCATGAAAACACAGACTTAAATACCAATAGTACTATAAAGATAGACTGATGGGCCCAGAAATAGAAACATAATCAGGCAACCTCTCATGTACACAAGGGATCTGAAAGAAAACCAAACTCTTTTGAACAATGAACTTGCCTGTTTATCAATGTGGGATATGGTTAAAAGTTCAGGAAAATTAAATCATAAGCTTATCTGTGTATGGAATGTGACTCAACATAGGTTACCACAGTTCACAGTTCAGACTCAACATAGGCTACCACTTCATTTTTCAGTTCATATACACTGTAGCTAAGAAAATAAAGCATCTATAGAGCATTTTGCCTTTTGAAGAAATGCAAAGTACCAAATGTAGTTGTTCAGAGTTTTACAGGAAGTTCCTTGACCCCCTCGGAACAGGTGCCTTAATCAATGGAAAGGATTTGGGATGACAGCTGTTTACTTCTTAATCCTTAATTTGCTCCTAGACACATGCTAACCAAAAGAAACTGTCCAAAAGCCAGTGGTATTTGAAAGTTTTCACCAACACATAAGCTAAACACAGTCTGTGTTAAGAGCCTGGATGGATATCCTGCAGTATATTGCAAGGAATTTTTTCGCTTGGGTTTTTGATTATTTTTTCTTATTCTTTTATAGATACCAATGATACAACTCCAAAAGAATGAGACAAAAGTCAGAAATAGGTCAGAAATCCCCTTATTTGTGCATGATTAGTTCAGTTAAACCAGACACTGGCATTTAGACACTTATTCCTTCTTTCAAACAAGAGTTATAAATGACATATGTTCTTAAAATAGATTCAAAAGGAAACAGTGGTAAATTGCATGTCTCAAACAAGGGCTTCTTTCTATCAAAAAGGAGATTATAATCTGCTGTGGTTAGATTCTTCTATCCAAGTTGGTGGTAACAYATTTTGATTATTTTATTCCCAGGCAAACAAGTGCTATTTTAACTTGTTGCAAGCCATTGGGAAACCACAGGCTAGGAGATGAAGACTTTGATGAGGATTGGCTAGCATGCCACAAGAGAGACAACAGAGACAATCTGAGTTCATGCAATAATGGGATTCTGACATTAGAGAGCTAATAAATCTCTGCCAAATAYAGCACTTCACCACAAAACCCATTATTAGTAAGTGACCTGACCTTAAAGCCCAAGGAAAATTAAACTGAACTTGAGCAACTATTTCAGTCATGTTTCTTCTGTATTCAAACACATTTTAAATAAATAGAAAAATTTATAACACAATGAAGAGAGGACACTTCATAAAAATAAAACACACAAGAAATGACACTAACAGAAACAAAAGGACAGTTCCATCCACAGCTCTGCTGAAGCATACCCCATGCAAGGCAGCATCCACAAGAAGGGAGCTCTCCCCTCACCACCGGCTCCTGCTTGACTCCCCCTCGGTCATTCCTTTCCAGAGGAAAGTCAGACCCAAGCAGCACTATACAGTGATAAAGACACCTGACTCAACTAGAAATGGTTGCATGTAATTAAGGCACTAACTTCCTATATGATATTTGTGAAAAACAACTGGAAGYAACTGCGTGGGCACTGCTCCAGAACACACAGGCCAAATCTAGGGATGGTCCAGCAGCCCCAAGGGCACCCAGCCCAGCCCTACAAGTTTCTACTACGGTTTTTCATTGTAACTCGGGGAGCACAGCAGAATACAAGTCTTTAACAACAGGCTGATGCAGATATTTTTGCTCAAATTTTCTTGATGCAGAAACTCTCTGCCCAAACAGCGAGAAATCTGTACTTCCCTGGTCCCCATTCCCCTTCTCTAAACTTGCCAGGAATATTTTCCTGATATCCAGAATAAATTCTCTATTTTCTAATTTCCTCTTACATTCCTTACTGAATTCTTCTCCATGATGGGCTGTGAGAGCTTTCCAGCATTCACGGTCAATTATGTTGTTCTAATAGCTATTTCTTAGCCAAAAGGAAGTTTGAACCGTGTTCTCGATAAGACAGCATGACACAAAGATTTTATTTTCTGATAAAATATTTTCAGACTTTAGTCTTTCTAAAAGTTTTTTTTCCCCTTAAATCCTCTAATCTATCATTCTAATCAATGAAGTTTCTAGATAGAGCAGTTTCAGAAGGACCTTCATCCTTTGGGTTAAATGATGTCAAGCCAGATAGCRCATGAAGTGCAACATTGCTCTGAGCTTTTCTTATTCTTCAATATCACATCACCGATGTGATATTGCTCGGTTCAGTATTAACAGTCACATTTGCACACTTCAATGCCTCTCTTCTCTATCACATCTGCTTTCCATTTCTTGTYTGTAGCATTCAATTTTGTTTCACTATTGCCCATAACGTATCTAGACAATGTTGTGGTATTTCACTATCATTTCTAAATATTCAGTATGAAATTTTGCATAGGTTCATGAGAATGAAAAATACAATCATTAATAGTCATATAAACCTGCCAGGTCCTTTTGCCCACTTGTTCTGCTTTTTTTCATGGTCCTTTTTTAAGCCCAAGAAAATGTCTGTGATAACTGTGGCCAAGTTCATTTTGTCAATATAACTTCGAAGAAATAAATAGAAAYTAACCCCTCTGTTCATGTAAAGTTACATTTTAAATATTAAAATCTAAAAATATAACAGTATATGTGACATTTCCCTTAAATATGTAACTACACAACAGTGGCACGATTTCCTCCTCCTCAGAAAAAAATGATACACTGCACTGACCACAGTAAATTCAGGATACAAGTKTTTCAAGTTCCTATTTTTATTTTTTCTTTAAAAATATCAATACTTTTTAATCACTGAGAAACAAACTATATATAAGAAGCAATTTTCAAGGGATAAAATTGAAGACCTAAAGTAGCTTAGATAAACCRCCACTATAACAGTATTCCCAAGTTACATCAGGCTTCAGCATAGATTTTAATTGAAAAATAAACCAGAAAGATATCTACCTGACACTTTAGCTAATGTAGAAAAGATGTACTATTTGCTTTAGTGAACCTTTTGCTATCAGTGTCCTTATAATTACACTGAAATAGTTAAATGGAACAGCACTCCTGTAATAGACAAGCACAACAAAAAAAAACAACTAAAAAAACACACATTTTTTAAGCAATGTCTTAAGTGAACCACATTCCTCTCTTATGTAACAACGTGTGAGAGTGCTTTTTCCTGCATTTCCCAGATTTAGAGGAATAGCAGTAAGCACATTTCAGTTCGGATTTTATATTGAAATATTCCAAATATATAACTCAGTCTGAAACCTCCYAAGCTAGACACATTTGAAAGCTACTTCCTATTTAATTGCTCAGTTTTTGCTGCCTTAAATATAACCCCAATGACTCAAGCAAAGATTGCAATAGTCCTCCCACCCTTCTTACCTTTCTCAAATTACTTGCCTTAATAAGGTCCTGCCAACTGTATGAAGAATATGAGGCAGCTACCTGGGAGCTCCCAGTTAATACAAGCAAGAACGGCAGCCACATCCAAAATCTGTCTTAGCTGCTGCCAGGACTCTACACAACATTTAGCTTTAAGCCCTAGTTGCTTTCCAAGAAGTGGAGTAACAACAGTGATAATCAACTACCAATAGAACAGGCTTTGAAATTTTTGACTGAATATAGTCTGCAAGATGAAGGAAGGGCTTGTAATTTTGTCCCGTTAGTGGGACTGCAGTAGCCAAGTTTTTAACAAAAAGAAAGGGTGCAAGATATTTTCCTTTTTCAAAGCACTTGTTTTAATTTAGCCTTGCCTTTGATAAATGAAATAAGATAATCCAAAAGTGTTTTTATATGAAAAAGATGTGCAAAAGATGTGACCAGTTTCAAAATAAGACTTTGCTTCAAAGTTAGCCTGTTTAAACTGCTTGAAGGATTCCACATGCTGGAAATCAGAACTTTATAACAAGATTTTTCTGTTCCCTTCATCTTTGACTTCCCTTCATCTTTGCCTCTGACTTCTAGCTCTCAAAAAGGGAAGGTTCTCAAAAAATAAAAACTCTTAGATTCTGTGACAATTGCCCATCTCCTTTACAAGCACCTCACTCTCAAAAATACACACAAGGAGCCTGCAGGTGAACGAGGCTGCATAATTCCAAATCTGTTGTCACCAAATTCTTTTGAGGCAGATGCAACTTTGATGCTCTAGTTAGTTTTGACACCAAAGGAGAAAGCCTCATGTATAATGTAAAGATTTGCAAACTTTCTTAATACTGTACCTAAATAGCAAATGCCATAAAGAAAATATTATTTTTCCCTTTTCCTTGTCAAGTGTTCTATTACTTTGAATTTTARATTCGTTTACAGTGAGAAAGCAATTCATTACATCACTATTCTTTGCAATAACTGCAGTGAGGTTTACACATTCATGTTTTCAGGTGCTCAAGCTTCYTGGCAATTCCTCTTTGCTTTCGCTATTCAGCTAAAAACGAACATTTTAACTTGAAAAATTAACTGTTGTCATTTTAACCTGACTTCATTCCCATGCAAACTATGATGAAAACATTAAAAATAAGAAATGAATCCCATATTTAACAGTATGATCCTCTAAAGTACCTGAGAACTAAAGTTAAAGACAAATGATTGGCTAGCAAATGCAAAATCTCCATATTAGGACACCTCTAATTGGAACACACAGAACCTACGGACTGTGAAACATGCAAAATCAGACAGAAACAGGGAGGTTATGAAAGACTGGTGGTAAATGGTCAAATTTAATAGAAATATGAATTTAATTGAATTGCATTAAAACACTAAAGCATTATTTACRGTAAAGCATCTTGAAACAGAGTAGAAAATTAAAAGTGAAAAAAGAAATCCTTAAGTTTTGAAGTACATAAAAATGAGATGCATATTGTGACTGACAATTTGCAAAAAAAGTTGTTGYGTCTGGTCCTTTGCATGGCCAAAGGTTTTAAAGGAGAAAGCAATGTAATATATTTTTGAAGAAAACAGAAGTTTTTTTACTCTCATTGTGTTCTGAGCTCCATTTTGTCACTTTACTTACCACAAGCAATGGTAGAGAGTTATATTGTACCATGCACAAAAAAACAAACAAACAAAAAATCAACCACCATCAAAAAAAACCAACTGATTGAAAAGGCAGTTTGTCAACACTACCAGTATCTTCATTAATTTGAGGACATTACACTGTTTAGTTTTCCTACTAAGAGCAAAATCCAGCAGCTTGTATTATACACCAAACTCACCCGCCACCAGTGCCTCCGTTTTTGCTGAAGTGTGTGCGAGGTTCGCTTGATGCCAGCTTGAGCAGTTCATTCCATTCCCGTTCCCATTCTTCCTCTGTATATACTAAGCCCGACTAAGAGAGATAAGGAAATACCTTTAAAATTATGCTGCTCCAAAATGTAACKAGCATTCTGCAGTAGCATTTAGAACTAAGTAATATATTTTGCACTTCAAACATGACATATTTTGGACTATTAGTGGTTCTATGTTCATCCTGTCTATACAGTCGTCATCATCTAGATCATCTCTTCTACATTTAGTTTTGGAGACTGAAAAATTCCACTGGTTCCAAACCATCATAGAACTTTGTAGATATGAAACTGCACATTTCTGCCCACAATGACAAAAATACATTTGCATTTGAATACTCAAATTCTAAATGCAATTATCTCCTTTCAAATGAAGGACTGAAATACAGAAAATAAGGTAGCAATTAGAACTTCCATACCAAACTTCACAAGAATGCTCTTGACCCTATATGATGTTAACAAGCCTATCTTCAGGCTGCACTGACCTCCTTATTCTGTTGAGTCTGTTGCCACCTCCATCTTCTTTTCAGGGCTTCCCTTTCAGCTCCAGTTCTCATCATAGTGTAGAGCGCTTTACGCAAGACAAGGTCCCGATCGTGAAATCCCCACATCCCTAAAGCAGCACAAGACGACACTCAATTTTAACAAAGCTACAGTGAAATAGAAGCAGTATCAATACAACTAATACTGTTTTAAAGCAAAAACAGCATGGTGTATTCATTATTTAAGACTTCTCTTAGTAGCAAACAATTCATCCATTTTTGAGGTTTCCTAATGAAACAGTCAATATAGATAAGCTAGTGAAAAAGGAATTCTAACAAACTTTAAAGATGGATTGCAAATTTTAAAGATTGATTAAGGACTTAAGACTTGAGTTGTTTCAGCTTGCAACTTTCACCTTGCAACTTCAACTTTGCTGTAAGTAATGGAATATTGAATACAAAGGTTTAGCTGGAATTACCAGCATGGACACTGGAATGCTAATGACAACTGTATCTCAAATGATGACACAGACATTCATAAGACTGGTCTTACACAGCTTAATGACTTTCTTCTGCTTCTGTATGCTAGTAAAGAGATGAGCATTCATGACGAGTAGAAGTCTAAAAATACAAGCAGCCACAGGCTTTCAAGATCCTTTTAAGATAATAAAATGTCTTCGTGTACTTGAAAAATGTACCCTATGATAAAAGAGAGTAAAGCCCTCAGCAGGACGTGTGCCTATAGGCAGCCACGTTTCAGTTATTATATTGTCAGCTGCTGTCAGTTAATATGTTTATTTCAAACTTTAAAGTCAAAATACTTGAAGCATTTGCTGTAAATAACAAAATTCCTTGAAGGTGAAAACAGAGGGGACATAGATAAAAGGGCTCTTAGAAACAATGAAATGTTTTTCTTGTTACTTTTTCCAAAAAATGTCTCTTCCAATGATTAAAAATCTCAATATTTAAAAAAAAATCTTTAGGAGCTTTACTAGTGCAAGATTTTAGCAATAATAATCGAAAAAGGAATTTCCTCAAATTACTTATAACAGGGAAAGACTTGTTACAAATTTTCAGCTTCAGGGATTTTTATTTATTTGATAGCATTTGAAGGAAGCCTTCAAAAGTATTTTATTAAAAAACTGGAATGTATTTTTAATTCCCCTCAAAATCTGTCTCCCATGTAATTAAGATCTCCAAAGAGTCAACAGAAACAGTAAGAACGTACTGTGTTCTTCAAGATACTGTGTTCTTCAAGATACACAGGATAGTAGGACCATTGTTTAATAAATGCAGAGGAGAATGAATGTAATTTTTCAACCCCAAGATAGGAAATCTTATCAGCAGCACCAAAGCTGCACCTGTACCAGTACTATTAGATTGGGTTCAGTGTGGAAAACGTGAATCACCGTCATCTATGATGAAAGTGTTATGATACTGTTCCAGATACTGGAGGGAAAAAATAAATAAATAAATAAATAAATAAATAAATAAGCCATGCAGCTTCATTCCTCAAATATGCCTACAGCAAACACTTCTGTAAGCTAAAGTTGAAGGATATACTGCTCTAGAACTGGGGTTTTGATGAAAGTCTTTGTATGTCGTGTGCTTGAGCTTTTTGCAGGGATAAGGAAGAATAAATATCATTGGTAAAAGACTTTTGTACAGATTCTCCCTTACCTAAAGAGGCAGCATGCAAGAGGCAGTTTCCATCACCTGTTGTAGCCAAGGGAAGAAGACGTTTGCAACTTGTGCACACCGTGGACCACCAATTCAGTCGTCCTGAAAGGAAAGCACACATTAAAATGKCTGAGCGGATGCTAAAAAAGTACAGGCATATGTGATGATGAATAATGTTGAAGGTTARCTGTAAAAGTCCTTTCTGCCAAATAAACTCAAATGTAATGTTAGAAGTAGAAACTAAAAAGGAATAGAAAGGTAGATAAGATGAGAGAATCTTTAATTAATTTGCAACTTCCATTCTCAAATACTTCACTCAGTAAGAGATTTCCAGGGATTTCATTGTCTAAATCCCCTTTTGAGGCTGGGTATCAGTTTCCAAAAACAATGTCCATCAGCATCCTATACATAGATCACAGATTATATCATGGCAATCAAGTCTCAGAAGACAAGTATTGCGTGTGTGTTATTTAGGAGTACTATTGTTTCAGTCGCATGGATTGTTCTAGTGCTGATTCTTTTCCCGTTTGGTGTAAGTCATGCTTAGGTCTACTGAAATCAACAGCTACACCACCACAGAAGAACTAAAGGTGAGGCCACATGGACAGCCCAAGGTCTAGGACAGCATGTAGATTCTTCATTTGAGAACATCAGTTACAAGATCACTTACCCATCCTTGCTCTATGAAGTCTATTTTAGAGATTATACAACAGAGATGGATGATGAAACAGACTGACAAGAGTACAAATATTCAGAGGTATCTGGATGAAGCAAACAAAGGCATGAAGAGTATCAATGTCAAAGACAAAACCGAGTACATCATTCCTAGCTCATGAATTGCACTGTGGTAGCTTAGTGGAAAGCCTAGGCTTGGTTCACTGATTATGTGAGTTTTTATAACACGAAGAAAGAAAATGTGACTAATTATATAACACCTTTGAGGACAAGGAGAAGCAAGTGATTAAAATAATTAGTACAGCTGGTATATTTCCTGAGTCTTTTTGGAAAGCTTTAAGTAATGTGCAATTGATTCAGTAAATAATGCAATAGGCAGACTATGGTGACTCAACTTTGTGTTTGTACTCTTTTTTCTTCCCCAATTCCTTAATTTGCTAGCTGAGAAGATACAGTAACTATATATGGCTTATGGTTAAGCCCCCAAAATAGAAATGATAAGTTTAAGGCAATGAAAAAAAACTTTCATCTGTTAATTTTTTTTTTTGTTGTTGTTGTACAGGTAGTACATAACATGCCAAAAAGGTACTTCAACATGTGCCCCTCACTGCTTGCCTCAGAACACAGTGCTCAACAAAAACTGTGTCATTAAATTTAATTTAGGTTGAGAGCTACTGCACTATAAAGGTAAAAATGCATTTCAGATCAATTACTAAACACTCTAGGTAATACTCATATGATTTCAGCTGCTAGTTTGTAAATGCCTAAAATCTCAGACTAGCATTATTAAATTCTAAATTTAATGTGCATTAGAGAAGCTTAATTTAAAGTGTTATTGGACTGCCTTTGGGAACGATAAATCTGAAATAACAAGTTACCATTTTTAGCATCTACCGTGTCTGTGGGCTGTGAAATAACAACTTGCCACCTGTCTCTTGCAGAATAATTTTGGTGATATCATATTCAGTAAGCAGTTAAACTGAGGTACCACATAAAGCACAACTACGAAACCCAAAAGAGACAAACACTGAAGCAGCTATAGCAAATCCCTTTAGGAATCAAGAGCAAAGTGGAGCTCAAATGAGGCCCAACATGAAAACAGTTGCATTTCAGCTCATTTCTACCCGTCTTAAAAGACAATATTTTTGAGACTCAACTGACTTCTCCCTCTCACTCTTCACTCGTTGCCATAATTTTGCTGTTTACCTTCTCACTACATTTATTTAATCTTAAAATACTAATCTGTTCTTTTAGAGTAAAATCACTCTGAGAATTAATGTCATATTCTARTACCATCCAATTTGATCTAAATTGTATATCAAGATTAAAAGCCCTATTCAGATTTGCAGTCTAGCAATGCATAATCCAACACATGGCACTGCTCTTTCTTTGCAAGATACTTAGATTTTGGGTGCACATTCAAAAGTAACTGTCAACAGAATCTTGTACCTCCACGACCGAAAATACTGCAGTCAATTACTTCTGTATTCCCATGTTGTGCTAGTTCTCCTCTACACAGTGTACATTTATATACAGAGACACATATGTATATGTATGTGTGCATGTATTTAAAGTAGGGGGGAGAAAAAAGGAAATACAGTGGGGGGGGAGGGAGAGAAGTGGGGTAGAATATTATACAAAGTACAGTGAAAATCCAGTGAAAGTATTTAAAGCTTGGAATAGCAGACAAAGATGCTTTCTTACACTTCTGCTCAATGCCATTTTATGATAAAATATCTGATAACTCCCCCAAAAGATGCAAACATCAACAGCTGCCTTCTTGTAAACCCACTGCAACCACTTGCATAAGAGGTCTTCAGCAACTGCTGGGCTGAAAAAGATCAGTATTATAAAAAAGAAACTTCGCTGCATATTTTAAAACATGGCTTTCCCTAAAAAGTTTATAATTCTGCAGTATTGTGAATAGTCACTAGAAATGTTTAAATAATATTTTTCTAAGCCTGTATGTTTTATTTTAAGCCACAGGCACATCACTTCCTGCTCCATGACTTACCATAGGAAACTGCCAAAGAGAATTACAGGGAGCTACATGACCTGAATAACTTAAAAGAAAGACAGCAAAGAACAGAAAATTTAGTTCAAGTATTAACAGGGTCCTGGTTTGGCTTTCGGGATTAACCCTGATGCCTTTCACACACACACACACACACACACGGTTGAGGATGCCTTCAGCATGATGTCCTCTAAGCTAAATTCCATTAATAGTAAAGTAAAAAGATAAAACAGGCATCAGGATTTACCATGGCTTCTGACTATCCCATCAAAGTGCTGCTTTCAGTTTACTAAGGTCCATATTTATTGTCCAAATGTTTGCAAATGTTTATATGTTGGTACATATAAAAGCCAAACTAATTCAAAGCCAACACTGCCTTATATAAGACTGAAGAAGCTCTATAGAACCTCTGCATGTATCTTCCATCCCTTCTTCCTTTTCTCAGCACGTAGTTTATTTTTCCTGGTTTAATTTAGTTTACTAACAGATAAGACAGCCTTGTTTCTTTGTGGAATTAACAACCAAAAGCTTGCAAGTACATAATGATCAGAAACTTGACTCTTTTTCTTGACAGGGCAAAAGGAGGTCCCGCCCAGGATGAGCCCTCCCAAGCTCTGGACACTTGAGTGTCACTGAGTTTGCATGCAAGGCTAAACAGCGTGTCAGCGCATCAAAGACAAGCAGACAGTGCCTGAGGGGAAACGCCGTAAGGAAAAAAAGGCAGACTTCTTGCAGAAAAACAGAATCCACTTTCAAAGAAAACCAAAGGCACATAAAGGTCTTTGTCAACAAATGTGTCAAGTGTCTTGTCACAGTCTGTACAGCTTGACCTCGGATTGACTGGGATTGTCTTGAACATCCTCCTYACTCCAATATTCTGCCTCATACAGCTACAGAAACCAGTCTCAGGTCTATATCTCAAAAGCACTGCTGSAGCAGACCTCTCAGCAAGGAAAACAAGCAGTTCCCTGTGCAGGGGTACAATGGCATCCTAAGAGCAGCTTGGTGACAGAAAACTCGGTTTCCTTACGATATGAAGCTACAATCTCTCATTTCTTGAACAAAAACATCCACAACCTCACACTCCCCAAAATAAGCAAATCACAAAGCAGTGCTTTCAATTTGCAAAGSAAGTTTGATGCTGGACACCTCATTTATTCTCAGAAGCCATGGTTCCCTCTAAACATCCACAGGCTTTTTCTTGTCCCACAACAGCAGTAACTGCTCAGCGTTACCGCGCGGCTCCGTGCAGCAGAGGCAGTTACAGCAGCAGAGCAGGGCATCACACAACACATTCCCAGCTAGTCACACGCTCGTACTGCGTGCAGGAACCTTGAAGCCAGATATCRGCAGAGCAACTTCAACCATTTAGAAGATACAGAGTTTCTGCATCTGTTTTGTTTCTTACATGACTATCTAAAAGGTCTTATTTATTTTTGGATTTAGTCTCATCAATTTTTGTTTATAAGTACTGACATGAAACAAAATACAAGAGCGGTTTTTTTACAACATTTGTGTTTTAATCATTCCTGGACTGGTAACTTTTTAATATAAATAAAGCATCCATCAATACAGTTTCTGTCCTTCAAATAAAAGATCTTCCAAAAGATCTCTCCCTGCTTTAATCTGGGTGGATAAAATCAGCTTCCCAGTAGTTTCTTCAAGGATATTCATCATTTACTTCTGTCCTTGAAATGCAATATTGAGTCACACATGAAAAAATAAGTAAAACTGAGCAATCAAATCAATGCTTCTCTTCTAGTCTGATGCATAAGCAACCCTGACACTGTCACAGAAGCCACTGACCAGAATGCAAATCAAAACAGAAAGGTCATAAAACAAGAGGGCATACATAATATATGATTCGGCCAAGTTGGATAGGAACAACTGAATATTGAGTCTTAATCCCTTCTTCAAGTGCATCATGAATCCTAATACAATATTCAAAAAGCCACGATATATAGCATAAAAGTTGCATTCCAGTAGTGGAGAGTGAGTAAAGAGCAGTGCCTTATTCAGGGCTTTCCTTTCACACACCTTGCAGCATTGTGTGCAGCAAGAATTTTGCTCTAGGTTTCTGCACATCTAGGATATAACCCAAATATCCTTTCACATACCGATGTAATGAGAGCAAGCGCCTTAGCAAGTGAAGAGCATATTTACAATTTTACAGGCTTTTATAGACATCCAGCTCACGTAGGCACTTTAAAGAACACGTGCTGCAGCCTATTAATGTTCATTTTGCTCCCCCAATCAACATTTTGTGAGTAGTAAGCTGCTCTTTCCCTAAAAAAGTTTCTCTTCTTGCCTATATATTTTTTCTTGTAATTCATGYCATTAAACCAAAATTCAAATACACTTTTCCATTAACATCACCCCCAGCCTCAGGTACAGAAGCTACTGTCCTGTTCTTTTTGTTTTGTTTTTTCATAAGCTTTAGATTTTTGGGGGCAGGAAACGCTCCCTTATCACATCATTTTGATGTCATTGATCAAAGCACAGTCACTCTGGGCCCTCTTTTGGTTAGAGGCAACAAGATGTATAGGGCTGACTTCATATTCATTTGCTATCATTTCAGGCAACAGTATGTCTATAATAATCAGAGAAAAGAAAAAGAAACCAGAAAGAGTATTTGCATGTCCTTAGCAAAGACAGCCAAAAGGTCAGTTTACAGGAAATCCTAAATGATTTTCTTAAAATTACCGTTTGGGCTGTTCAACATTATTGAAGCAAAAACCTGCTTATGAGGACAGTCCAGTTTATTTGAGCCGAAAACTTACACGAGAACACCAAGCTGACCTAGCCTAAAAGAATATTTGTCATCAGAAGCACTACACCTTCAAATTCTCACTCCCCTCCTTTTCAGGACGCAGGAGGCTCCGGGTAGGAAACACTCTTGCTCTCATCACAAGGCCAATAATGGGAGGACYGACAGTCTTCATTGAGCGCTAACCAGCATTAGGATGAAAACAGTTATTGATTTTGCCACTTACATATTTTATAAGAGAAACAGAAAGACTTCTTAGTGCAAGCCAAGTTATTGCCCTAATTAAAGTAACTTGAAGAAAAGAGTAAATTATTTATTCTAATTTGCAAAGAGATCTGAAAGAGGAATACTCAGAGGCAGAAAATTTTCAGTAGTTTTAGCAGCCCTGTTTCAAGTTCAAAGCCAGCCAGTTCTGGAYGAATGTCAGAAGATGATGTCAGCTCTACATTTTTAAGGTCAGAAATCCACTATGATCCTCTTTGCCTGTACTTCTGTGTAAGTGACTGTCAGTGTTGCAAATTCACTACAGCACTTAGGGAAAAGAATGTTGTTTTAACTGTGTATTTTCTGATAGCCCTATGGAATCAGGCATGTTCGGTTGAGCAGATGGAGGAAAGAGCATCTTCTGCTTTTTCCTGCCCCGTGTTAGATGCTTTTTAATGACATTAGATGCATTTTCTGCTTGGTAGCATTTTTTTTTTTGTGCCAGTAGCTTTTTCTTCTCCCCGCCCCCCCTTTTTTTTTTTCTCTATTTTCCAGAAAAAAGTCTGCTGAACACTGCTTCATTTTAAAGCACATACTGTGTGACACTATTATCCAAGTATCTCCTGCTTTTCAAATACATTACTTACCAAAGTCAAAAAATGAACAGGTTATGACATATGGTAGTGACCCAGTTTTGCTCAGGTCCTACCTGTACCCTGGGACTGCATGCCCTGATAAAGCAGCACTTCAGCAGTGGGAACAGAGAGAATAAGTATGCACGGRGTTTTGAGAATGAAGCCTTGGATGAATACACAGCATTACACAGGCCAATATAGCCAGTAACACAAAGCAGCCAAAGTCACTGCTGGATTATGTAAAAGAAATCTGCTTTGCAGCTCCTTTGTATTACCAGGCTTGGACACAGGGACTCTTAGATGTACAGAGATGCTGTAGGGATTGAGGCAGACGCATTGACCCAAAAAACAAAGCTCCTTTAGATGGGTATGACGCAATTGGAATCCCAGCATTGGTTCACCTTGCATGCTAGGAGAAGGAAGGAGAGTTTCCAAGTCTGAATTATGGAACAGAACGAGATAGATGGAATGGGGTTAATGTGCTGGTGTAGAGCCAGCATTGGTGCTAACTTGCCTCAAAACTACAGCTATTCACAGTTTACTTCATAAGCAGCCCAGTCATTTAATTCAGAAAAGACGTGGTGGGAGGAAATGGGGATCAGCAGGCATCTCCCCTTCAGTCCACAGTCATTACAATATGCAGAAGGCTGTTTACTATTTTAAACCAAAAAATCATCCCACTGCAGACCTACAGCTTGCAAGTATTTTCCATTACTTATTATTCGGATCTCACAGAACTGCTGTTTCCAACCCTGGTGACACACTTCTCTCTCTTCAGATCAACACCCTGAATACAGACTCAGATCTTTTTCTATTGCATGACTTCCCTATCTGTTCCCTTTTCTTCCTCCCTCCTTCCATTCCTTTTTTCCCCTAAGCAAACATGTCACTTTTCGCTATAAAGTTTTAAAAGAAATAGAACATCAGGCTCTGTGTCATGCTGCAAAGAGCATATTTGCTTTTACCCCCAAGCATTTGTTTTCCCACGCATGGTGCACGAATTCTAGAAATGAAGTGTGATTAAAGAATGTCAAATCAAACACCAGATTGCTGAGCTGCTGATACCTGAAGTATTTACCTACCTGCTTGCTCCAAAGCCACCATTGTTGCCTGCTCAATTAAGTCACGTTCAATGAAGCTTCTGAAATCTTCACTGTACACACTAAGATCAGGTAGTTGGAATGTGTAGACGGGCATCTCCAAAGGAAACTGCTCATTGTTGCATTCATTTGCTACATGTGATCGAGCAAGAGAGACTATGGCTGAGCTGGCATGAGAGATACCTCTAGAAAGTCGCTTTTCTGTAGAAAAAACAGAAACATTATAGACTATTAGACTATAGGCCAGTCAACATTTAAGTCAAAAAGTTCTACCAGTTAAGAGGAGGAAAATGGAGACAAGTGGGGCATCTAACAGATAAATTCACTCTGCTTCTACCAAAGTAGATAAACAATTAAGGACACATGAAAGAACGGATTTCTTTAAAAACATATTTAGAAAGTTATGTTTCCAAAATGCATTGGATGAAACTCTTACTGGCAGACATGCTAATGAACAAATGCTTCAAATGCTAAACTTTAGCTGACTTGTGGTTCAAAAAAAAAACAGTATTTGGCAATTACTTCACAATAAGCGTTTCACACTACCTGAAACTCAGAATGATCTACCCAAAAGTGACTTTACTTGGTTAATTTAAGGCAGACTCAGTTTTTGCCCACATTTATTTTAAAATCCTAAGCCAAAGAACATCGTGCAGAACAACATCTTACTATACTGCAAGTCTGTACTGAAACTCTCCATGGATGAATGCCATGYAAGGCACACTAAAGGCCTTTTAAAGTGAATTATTTATGAGCACTGCAAGTGTTAGAACAGATCTGGGCATTGATTTACACACCACAGTGAAAAAACTGTCTGCTGAATGGTCAGTAAGGTCGTTAAAACAAAATAAGTATTGGAATATGAAAAAAAAACCATTAGTAATAATATCATGATATTTCTTTTTATTTTATGGTCTCAGTTCTGATCTCCAAAAGAACTTCAACAGTAACAGGAAAACAGAAAAATTAGCAAGAAAGATACTACTTCTGTAGTTGAAAGACATCAAACAGTCTGGCATTCTTGGGTAAAGAAACGAAATAAATATCAGAATAAAACAGCAAATCAGCAAACTGATAACAGAAAACAGACCCAYGCAGGAGGTTAGTAGTCTCTAGGTATTTAAATGTCCAAAATGCCATTTCCTGTTTAGTAGAAGGCAACAGCCATCAGGGAGAGGCAAGTCCTTCTGGTCCTTCTAAAAACCACAAAGAAAACCCTGCCGGAATCGCCAAGCTGGGGCTATTAGCTCTCTAGCTGAGAAACTGTCATGCATGGGGATTTATTTCAGTGCAAACCACTCTTTCTTGCTAAAATAAAATAAAAAAAATGTATTCCAATAGCCCGAGACAGACACTGGTCTGAAGCTAAGCTTATAAAAGGTCTGAATACAAAAAAAAAAAAACAAAAAAAAAAAAAAAAAAAAAAAAAAAAAAAAAAAGTCCTACTGCTTAGTATCTCCTAGTGGAAGCCAACTGCTAAAGGCAGCTGACTCATTCCTCTTCTTCAGATTTCAGTCCTTGAAATATAAATTTGACTGTGTGTGTGGGGGGTTCTTCCGAAGAACGATAAAATTAACCCATTTTTAAAGCTAAGTGTTATTGACATACACGTTATCATTTAGATGCGTGTTGTTTAGTCTTACAAAGCATGCAAATCTCCACACACACAGATCCTGTGCTACCCTCAACTAATTGCTTCTACGAGCACCACAGGACTTCTCCAGGACAACCTATTTTCACACTGCAATCACATGTTAAAGGGAATCAAAAGAACACATGCAAAGCTAAAGCAAAGCTCACAGCAGCTGAAACAGGTGAAATGCAGGGTGCAGGAGGGCAAAAGCTACACATAGCCCATGCCACGGGCGATGGAGCCGCAGCTCCCTGGGGAGCCCAGTAGACACAGAAGCGGTTGAGGCGCCGGGGAGGAGCCCTCACCTTGAGCAACGTCGTCCTGCCGCTGCAGGCAGGGTCGCTCGGCCTTCGTCACCTGCGGCGGCTGCGGGGCCTCGTGCTGCGGGCAGCGCGGGCCCTCGGCGAGCACGCGCGGGAGCCCGCCCGGCTGCACCTGCCGCAGCTGCTCATAGTCGCTCAGCGCTGCYGACAAGTCCCAGTTTTTGCCTGCCAAAAGCCAGAGGGATGTTGGACTCGTGTCTGCAAGTGAACAGTTATTCTTTGCCATTAACAGACAGGTTTGTCTCTATAACTGAAGAAAATAAAATCTCCGTGGAAGAGACTGAAATACTCAGCATAGGCAACTTAAGTAGGATTTAACATTGTTTATTTAAAATCATCTGTTAAAATTATCTTGACTTCAATTTCACAGTTAATCCCAACAAATCTTCTTACCTTTTCCTAAATGAAATTCTACTGTTAATATTGTTTAGTATTAACTTGACACATATAATAGAGATGCTTCCTGCATTCCAAGGCAATCTTATATCTATAAAAATAACACTCTGCTTTTTATTATTTTAWTCCTGATACATGACTAGTGAAGACTAAGCCACATTAAGTTAGGGAACACTGAAGTAACAAGATTATAAAATACTCCAATAAACCTGGCGTTCCCCAGCTCTTGGGCCCCGATAGGAGGCACCTGGCAGTGCTGAGGAGGTTCCCCCGTTCAGTGTCATGTACAAACCTGATGAGAGCTTTTTGGAGACTTTAAAGAGGGGCAAAGCCCTGAGGGACAATCAGGCAGACCCCTGATTGCAACTGTTTGGAGTAGAGCTGCTCTTTGCCTATTCATTACCAGCTTCTAAGTATGCAATCCACTAACCACTACCCTCTCAACTCAAGACCCCAACAGTTATTTATCYATCCACTTGTCTACCTATTCAGCCCATTACGACCTAACTTGGATATCAGAATTCTATAGCAGACAGCACAAAACATCTTCCTAAGGCTGAATTAAACAGCATCCCCAGCTCACCCCTCCATTCACAGATCTAGGCATCTGATCATAGAAGCGAGTCAGGACTTCCCTTGCTCTGTTCTTGCTTTGATCCCAGATCACCCAAAGAACTGGGATTCAAGATAAACACTAAATCCCACAAAATAACAAGAGACAGTAATACTTCCCATCTGTACAGTCGGGTAAGAATAGATAGATAATAGCAGCAGCGCTGGAAAGGCATGATCCTTAGTGCTACAGCACAAGAGACCAACTTCCTTATCTTGCTTTTCCCAGGGCAGCTTGAATGCAAATGCTTAATACTTTAGGTCACTTTATGTTATACAACAGAAARAATATGCTCTTACAGAGATTCTCAAAGTCTTTTAGAAAGCAGATAATATAGGACAACATTTCTAACAAAACATGCAGAGGGAGGATTCGGTCAATGCAGGTCCAAATCCAGTGGAGCTGCTCATGAGATCTACCAATGTAGAATCCTCCAAAAGAAGTTTTACCTCTGAGCTACCGTTCCATCATGCTGTTACGACCAGCAATGACAGAGGACTAACGTCTGAAGATAAGGAAGTCTGCTTTGTACAGTTAGACAAATGGCTCTTGACAGGCTCAAAAAAATTAACAAGACAAAACGCTAACACATTCATATGCTATTTTCAAAACAATCCTGTTAAGTTAAAACGCACAGATTTCTTAGCATCCTTGAAGTATTTCCTTTCAATTGGCATATTATAAATATGTAATAGTAAGAAAAAAAGACCCCACTAACTACATAAGACTTTCACAGTCTTYCCTGAGCATTTTTTCCAGAAATTCCAGAAGAGTAGCCTTTTTTCCATTTAGTTCATTTAGCAGTACAGTATAACTCCTTTGCTCACATAAAGAAGAAGCTAATAATATTACAAAGCATTTWTAAAGTCTTTTTACTGTTATAATCACATCAAAAGTTTAACTGAAATAGGAAGCAACAACATAAATTCAGCATATGTTTTCAAAAAAGGCTGCTATCTACACGGTTGCACTGAACTATCTGAGGCAATACTTAGCAGGAATGTTGCACTTCCTGAAGAACTTCAGAACATTAATGTACAACACTCTTTCAGTGATGTGGTTAGATGTAGTATGCARAAATCCTTTCCTCCAAGGCCTATAGGATAAAATGCATATTTAACAGAAAATTGCTGGAAATCAATACTTACAAGGGACACTTGAGTTACTACCATTTTTTTCTTTAATATTTTTGTTTTTTAATTTCATATAGAATCACTGGTTACAAACTAGTCAGCGCTCTGGTACTACTTTTATACATCACCTGAATGAAGTTGCCAAAGTCAGACATTCAAGAGTCAAATTCCTAAAATTGATAAGATGGCAAATGTTTGGAGCAGAGTTGCTTTTTGTCTTTTTCTATTATTACTGTTTTTTCCTATCTTGGATTGTTCTTCATTGGTCCTGTTTTTATGACATACCCATGTCACACTCTTTAGATCTCCTTCTTAATCACAAAGGCAGTGCTATGAAATTTGAAAACAAAACTATATTCATGCTAAATATCATTTTAGAAGACAAAGGTTGAAAGGAAATGCTGTCAGTATTGACCATGCAATGAATCCTGCATGATGCTGCTCTCAAAGCAACTGGGTTTATTCACTGGAGAGTACGAGGTAACAGACAGCAGGGAACGAGAACACAGATAGTATTCCTCCCAAACCAGTGCATTTCTTAAATAGGAAAATATCTTGATCAGGAGACTTTAAGTTCTGAAATCGAACAAAATCACTGTTTGAGTGCTGTAAGAGACTGCTGTGCGACAGCTTTGATGTATGTAACAGAACAGCAGAAAGTTAGTCAAGGAACAGGAATCCTGCTGTCCTTCGTTTTAGGGTAAACGCAATCATCTTGTGCACAAGCTCTATCATAATCAATAGGCAGCGCTCAGAAGCAGGGCTCAGTGTATTGCATTTAAAATCTAAATTGCATAGCAACTCTGAATTACGCCCCACGGCACAGCGTAGCAACTGAACTTCTAACAGGAACATGAACCTATACATTAAATAAAATTCCTATATCTAAATCCATCTTAGAGAGAAGAAAAGAACTTTCTTTTCAAATCTCTCYGTCTCCTGGAGTTGCCCCATCTGAGAAAAAGCGCTAAAGTGAATCAGCACTAATCAGCACCAAAGCATGAAACTCCAGAGAATCCACATAAGAAATCATTAGACTCATTTTCCCCAGAATTTCCTGCAGCTTCAGTATGACAAATAAACCAACATAGTAAGGACCTTCCCAGCTACATGAGTGTTTCAGAATATCAGTCAGCCTAACCAGCCAAGGGCATGTTCAGCCACCACCTCACAGTCTGTCCTGGGAAATACGTGACTGTTCCCTTGCCAGGGCTTCTGCTCCTTTGGGTTCTCATTTTGTCAGGCAAATACAACACCAGACCTCTTGTTTTTCCTGTTGCTCATAAAGAGAAGGAGAATTAATAAACCTGGAAGGATGATAGGAGTGAATTCAGAGTTGAAAGTAGAGGAAACTGGAGGCAACAGAGAGAATTAGGAGAAAGGAAGAGGAAAAAAGAAAATTGAACAGAGGCATTTATTAGAGAGATTTCGTGATGTCACTAGGACCACAGAAATGGACTGCAGAAGCAGTGGACAAGCCAGTACAAGACTGCAATAAGATAAATTACGATGAACTTGTTACCTGGAATGGAAGACACAGGATGTGAGACTGTCAGCGCAAGCAACACTCTGTGAAGAAACACGTATTGAGCCTCTGACAATCACAGATGAGCTGTAGTCATTAACACTAGAGACAGGCGTTTTAACCAAGCTGAAAATTATCTCAAGTGCATTACCATGAGCCATAACTGCCCTAAAGCACTAACAGCTATTATTTGCTATTCAGATTTAGCATCCCTCTCCAGGAACTCTCTGTCTCGAGATTGGTACCAACATTGAGGTTTTCTAGAATTCCCAATCAGCCCTGATGGGTGCTGCAGTGCAGGAGACAGCATTGCTTTGTCCAGACTATACTTGGTAGCACATAAGCAGTTATACACTACCTTCCAATGGCCCCAGAAGCACTTCCTCATGGCACRGCTTTACAGTTAGAAACTCCTTCTTAAACAGTTTTTCCACTAGAAGATGGAAGATATCCGAGTTCACACTAAATACTACATATTTACTATGGATCTTAGAAAAATTTATTAAAGATTGTTATTCATGCATGCCTTTGACTTGACTATCCAATGTCATGAATCATTTGATTGTTGCACAATATAAAATTCTATTAGTATTTTAGGCACAGAATTAATCCACTAACTCAATGGAAAGCATTCTCTTATTGAACAACTATTTCCAGAATAGCTGCATGTGCTATGTGGGTCAGGAGGTGTAAAATCCAACAGGAGTGAAATATCTCTGCTTTCAAAGCAAAGTGTTTCTGGTATAGAAGAAACAAAAAGGCAAAAAAGGATAGAAAAAAATGCAACTGAATAAGAAGTAAAAGACACATTATGACTGAAAGCTAGTACTGGATTTTTAGTGTCAGAGACAGCTGACATCCAGATGAAAGGGAAATACAAAAATAAACTCAGTTGCAGTGTGAAGCTTTCATCCCAAATAATAACTGTTTTAATACAACATGAGGCTTTGTCAGCCTGAAGGRAAAAACAAAGACACACATAGAGCAATATAACTATAAAAAGTCCCTTATCCATTTTTTGCCCTACCCCTTCAAAGTGGATCAGTAAAGGCTGCACRTGCAGAGAGTGCTTCAATTGCTATGGAAAAGGGGATGAACAGTGGGAGATAGACTGACCTCTGAAGTGCTAGGAAAGGCTCCAATTTTCTTGGCCATTCAAAAAGACTGACTTGTTGCAGGTTTTCTTTTTAGTTTGGTTTTGTTGGTTTGCTTTCCTCTCACTTAGGTGCTTAGAGTAGTCCAAGAGGTGGTTAGAAATGGGTTGCTTGGTGATTTGATCCCCAGGCCCTTTCTCTAGCCTTCAACCTGGTTACGTTGTGAGGGGAGAGAGCAGCATTCCCAGTCCTTTCCCGCCCAAATTAACCTCTGGCTTTATCAGGTCACTACTCACATCCTTTAATAACAAAAATCAGGCACAGTTGGGCAGYCAGTGCTCTACTAATATCTATATTCTGTGGTTTTCACAGCAACAGACATGGCAGATAACATTCAGAAAGCA